TGCAAATGCAGTAATCAACACCACCGATGAGACAGAGAAGAGTGAGAAAGTGCAAACACCACAGGCAGTTCCAGACCTTAAGATCCCAGAAAAGGAGACCCCACTCAGTGTACCGCCTGTCCCTCCAGATACAATGGTAAATGCAGAGAAGCCAAAGGAACCACCCCGTGCAGAGATGATACCAAAACAACACACTGAGCCAGAACAAGGAGCAGAGCATAACCAACAGGCGAACAGAACAGCAGTGACGAGACCCAGACGGGAAAGGCGCAAACCTTCACATTTGAAGGACTATGTGTTATCTTAACAGTTGATTGAAGTTTATTATCAGATTCTTAGCTTAACAGTTGATCTAAGTTTCGTTATCGGATCGAACTTTACTGGAGTTACAAGCCTTTATTAGTTCAGGAGGGATGTAGTATCCGTTCCTCCGCACGGGTTGCGAGCCTACATTGTATCCCGTGATATCGCATTAAATATAGTTTTTATCCAACATGGCGTGTGTTTATTGACGATCATACAAAGATGTTACCATAACCAGCCTACGTTATTCGTGTAAAACTTTGAAAACTTCCGAAATTAACCATGTAATCGTTTTGGTGAAAAGATATTTAATGTACTGGACTAAAATTATATTTAATGTACAGGACTGAAAATGAGTGCTGCCCTAGGGCAGCAATGCAAATGAGTGCTGCTCTTAATGTACATGTCATGTACATTAAATAATATAAGTTATACCGTATGTAAGGGTGAGCAAAGACTTCAACAGATTAATGCCGGTTAAGAAAATAGGTCATCGACTTACTTATATAAAGTCTTGACTGACTACAGTGCATTTTTTGTGTGAATTATTAATAAGTAATGACATGCTTTCTTGTGCAATTTTGCGTGAATAAGCTCTTTTCGGAATACAAATTCCACTTGCCCCATACCAGTTTGGAAAATTTGCTCATTAAAGGGCCATGCTCAACCAGAATGAATGCATTGCTGGGGTATTTGCCATTGATTGTGAATATATGCAAGTTAC